ACACAATGATCAGCGTGTGTTTTGTGGAAGCCATGATCAACCATAAAGGACTCAAACTTCTTATACCACTGCCGAGGTGCTTGCTTCAAACCATACAAACTTTTCTTCAAACGGCATACTAAGTTCTCCTTTCCCTTAACCTGAAAGCCCTCAGGTTGTTCCATGTAGATTTCCTTATCAAGGTCACCATGAAGAAATGCTGTCTTCACATCAAGTTGCTCAATCTCCAAATCCATGCTAGCAGCTAAGCCAAGTATAACTTGAATAGAGGTCATCTTCACAACGGGAGAAAATATCTCATCAAAATCTATGCCCTTCTTCTGACTGAAACCCTTCACAACCAATCTTGCCTTGTACCTTGGTTGTGAGCTACTCTCATCACACTTCAATCTGTATACCCACTTGTTCTTGAGTGCTCTCTGGCCTTTAGGCAACTCTACAAGCTCATATGTGTGGTTCTCATGCAAGGACGTCATCTCATCTTGCATGGCATCGTACCACTTCTCGCGGTGCACATGTGACATAGCATCATCATATGTCTCTGGCTCTCCTCCATCCGTGACTAACACAAAATCATCCTCCGAAAATCTCGTGGAAGGTTTTCTGACTCTAGTGGATATTCTCAACTGAGGTGCTGGAGGCGGCTCTGAGTGTGGTTGTGACTCTGGAACACCATCATCACCATCATCATGATTATCATCATCATGATGGTCATCTGCAGGGGACTCAACTGTATGATCATGCATATCTCCCCCATGATCTTGAGGAACTACAACAGGAGGAAGAGATGGAACTGGATCAACTGTGATGCATGGAGAAGGATTTCCCTGTTTCTTCTCACAATCTTCAATAGTCTGATCTTCAAAGAAAACCACATCTCTGCTTCTGATCACTTTCCTATCACGTGGATCCCATAGTCTGTACCCAAACTCATCCTCTAAATACCCCAAAAATATGCACTCTTTGGTCTTCTTATCAAGCTTGGATCTCTCATCTCTAGGAATATGAACAAATGCTCTGCAACCAAAGACTCTCAAATGCTTATATGAGACATCTTTCCCTGACCAAACTCTTTGAGGAACATCACCTTCAAGAGGAACTGAAGGGGAAAGGTTAATCAGGTACACAACAGTGAACATTGCCTCCGCCCAAAAGGACTTTGGCAGCTTAGCATGGGATAGCATACACCTGATTCTCTCTTCAATTGTTCTGTTCATTCTTTCTGCAACTCCATTAAGCTGAGGTGTCTTCGGAACGGTCTTCTCAAGCTTGATGCCCTGACTTTTGCAATAGTTCTCAAATGGACCCCTATACTCACCACCATTATCTAGAAAAATCATCAATAAAAGTCACAAAATATTGTGCACCACGGTGTGATCTAGCATCCATAGAGCAAACATCAGTATGGACAAGATCTAAGGCATGCTTTCTTCTATGTGGGGGACGAGTATGAAATGCAACTCTATGTTGTTTTCCAGCCAAACAATCAACACAAGAGTTTAAAGGCATACCTGAAATGTCGGGGAGATAATCTTTCCTCGAAAGGATATGCATGCCCTTTTGACTCATGTGGCCAAGCCTCTTATGCCACAAATCACCGGAGGCATCATCTGCTACATTGGCATCTCCGCTACATACTCTGGCCTGCATAACATAAAGTGAATTCTGCTTCTTACCTCGAGTCGAGCCATAATCAAGCAGCCCCTGGAGAGTTTCCATCTTCCATCACAAAAGTTGTTGGCATAACCTTCATCATCAAGCAAACCAGCTGAAATCAAACTCAATCTGATATCGGGGACGTGCCTCACATCCCTGAGCACCAACCTGCAACCAGTTGTTGTCCAATTAAAATTGAACACTTCCTCCATCCGTCGCTACCAGCTACTGGAGTGCCACCACGAAGCATCGACGGTTGACTGAAGACACCGACGACATATTACATTGTTACAGGCGAGTGTTGAAGGTCGGTGATGGCGAGGAGGACAATGAACATCAACGGTGAGTGAATGAGAAGTGGGGATTGCTCTAACTGGAATTGCGTTTTTTGTGGATGTGGATTGAAAAGAGTAAGATACCGTTGGGGTCTTGGGGATATACATTTTTAATTTAATTTGCGAGAGACTCTTACAGTGGTCGCAGATCTGGGACAGAACTTAATAGACCGTCACAGATTTATACCAGATTTTCAATATGTTCATTGTTGTCGCAGACTTATCGGCTGTCGCAGATCTGCAACGAAAGTCCCCAATCAGTTACAGATTCCCGTCGTCGCAATTTAAGCGAATTCTTGTAGTGATAGTTTTGAAATATCAAATTTTGTTAACATTTATTTAATTATTTATTTAGATTATACTCCTCTTGTTTCTTTAAATCCTTTGCATTTTGACTTTGAGCAAAAATAAGGAAAGTATAATTTTGGTAGATTTTCCAATTTTGCCCTGATTTGATGGGTAAATGTAAGATGCGATAGTTTGGTTATTAGTGAAAAAGTTGATATGTGGGATATAAAAAAGTAGCGGAAAAAATGATTTTTTAATAAAAAGTAGAAGTGTTTTAGGGAATTGAAAAAAAAACAATCAAAAAGTGAAGGATTTTATGGAACCCACGTAGGGAGTACCTAATTTGTGGTAAAAAAAAAATGTTATCATTTGACAAAAAGAGTCTCCTTATTCGTAAAATTTGAGAAGGAAAAATATAAAAAAAGTACTAACCATGATATGGCCAATGGGTACGAATCTAGTTTGTGTAAACTAGCCTCAACAGCTACGGAGGCGAGTTCCAAATTCCCAGGCCCCTTGCATGCGGCGATGGAGCAGCTGAGCCCCCCTAGCTCATTGCATGCCTGCCTGCCTACAGTCTGTCTATATATATATCTACTACTCCCTCCCAACCATTGGCATTATATATTGGTGGCCGCCGGAACATAATATCCTCGACGCATCGTTCAATCCAATCCAATCCTCCTTTACGTCTTGCAAACAATGGCTACCCCACCAGAAGCAACCACAACAATCATGTCCTTGCCGGTGGGCACCGTCATCAAACTCATATCCCAGAAAGCCATGGTCGGATCCCTCGGAAATCTCTACGGCAGCATCGCTGACCTCGGCGACACCTACCTCCAACCCGGCATCACAAAAGATGCCTTCTTGAACCCCAAAATGTCTGCTCCCTCGTCCGACCACGTGCCGCTCCTCATGCCTGCTCCTCCGGCAGCCGCCAACCCGCTGGACTCCAAGAAGGTTTACCTTTGTGGTCATTGCCGCAGTTATGCACGTTACTCCGATGACCCGACAGCAAAATGTCCTAGCTGCCACAACAACATGAACCTTGAGCCTACATATGTTGCTCCTCCTGTGAAGGCGCAGGTGTCTTCGGCTGGCGGCGGCGAAGGAGGAGGAGGTGGTGGTGGATTTGTGAGGGTATATGGTGATGGATGACTTGAAGGTGATGCCACAGTCTACCATTTCTGCCATCACAACAATGAATGACAGCAACATTAATGATTTTGGATCCCTTGAGGTCAAGGTTGTTTCTTTGGATGTTGATGTGGTACGCCGCCCCCCTTATCCCTTCTATCCCATCCTCTATATATCTTTGTAAATTATTATCCGAGTAGAACTATGTGAAAAATACTCGAGTAATTAAATTCTCTCATCATTTTTTTTTTGTTCATAAAAAACACGTACTACTCCATATTATTTTAAGGAACACATGTAGTCACTCTATTTAACTACTCCATGAAAGTTAAACATCATTTTTTTTGTTTGGAAAAATAGACTAGTATATGTTGCATCAAAGACATGCAAAAAAAAGTGCTAATTAGTTGCATCAAAGATCGATATAAATTAATGAAAAATAATAGGGGAACCCCATTTGGGGTACATCAATTAAGCGTTCACTAAGGCAAAAATGATCACACAAACATATAGATATTGAATGTTCGTGTGTGTCTATTTTTGTCTTGATGAGTTGGTGTACACTTAAATACATTGAATGGTGTTCTCCTAGCACTCACTCTTGTGATTTAATTGACTTAAAATGCACTCTTGTGATTTAATTGACTTAAAATGAATGATATGAGTCGTGGCTCATTCTGAAAAAAATGGTTATAATTTGTTGTTTAGGGAATGAAGTTGTTGAAAGCTGCTTTGCATACTGATTCGGTTCTCACAACTGTTCTCCTCGGGAAGAATTGAAGTAGCTAGCAGCTAGCTGGGGAATTCATATATGCAACATCATGCATCATCATCATCTATATCCGCCCAGCATGCAGATGCAGGCGCATGCATATGCTTTATATTGGGAATTATTGCTGTTTTAATTTGTCATTTGTGTAGCTTCTACGGAGTACTTTTTTGTCAATTCCAATGGACTGTTTTGTCATGTGCCGTTAACTAGTGTTGCACGCTCGATCTGCCTTTTTGTTGTTGTTGTGTTCATGGTTGTGGTTGGACTTAGCTTGGAGTTAACAATCTCATTTTGATTTTAACTAAATTAAAACCAACTTTATTTGTCTATTTCCTTCAAGTGAAATTTGCATTGAATATGACTAAAACATAAGTCATTTCCCAATGTAGGACTTAAACTTTTTTATTCTCTAAATAGAACTTAATAATGACTAGTGAGAAGAATAATGTCCAAGTGATGCTGGACATTTAGTTGAATAATGACTAATAAATAATGACTAATGGTCCTAAATTAGGAAATAAAAACATATGATCCTATATTGAGAAAGTCATTATGTTTTAGTCCTATTTAGGTAAATTATCCGAATGAGTGTATTTGATGAGTTTTGTTTTTTGTGAACTTTGCACTAAATAAGATTAAAACATAGAGAAGTTTACTTAAATAGCACTAAAACATAATGACTTTCCCTAAATAACACCACATGTGTTTTTCTTCCCAATGTAGCATTTTTAGTCATTATACATTAGTCGTTATTTAAATAAATATTTGTCATCACTGGATATTATGGGCATTATTAAGTTCTATTTAGAGAATAAAATAGTTTAAGTGCTTTTTAGGGAAATGACTTAAATTTTAGTGCTATTTAGTGCACATATTTCTTAAAACATAAGTTGTTTTTCAATGTAAGAATTAAATTTTTTATTCCCTAAATAATAATCCCTACGTTTCCTTAAAAGGTTTCTGTTTTGACTTTTAGCCAAATTAAGGAAAGTGTAATTTTTATTGACTTTCCAATTTTGCCCCTAATGTGATGAGTAAAAGTAAGATGTGATAGTTTGGTTATTAGTGAAAAAGTATGATGTGATAGGTAGGGTATGAAAAAATAGGGGCAAAAGTGGTTTTTTATTAGAAAAAGGAAGTGTTTTAAGGAATTGAAAAAAAATGAAAGAGGAAGGGTTTTAAGGAACGAAGGGAGTACTTAATAATGTTTAGTGGTAAGAATAATGTCCAGTGGATATTTACTTTAATATATAATGACTAATGAATAATAACCAATGATCTAACATTGAAAAATAAAAACATATGGTCTTATACTTAAAAAAGTCATTATGTTTTAGTCTTATTTACGTATCTTCTTGTTTTTATGCAGTCACTCGAGATTGATTTCTGACTCATAATTAAATACTCCTTGAAAATAAACTTCTTATTCTACCTTTTCACCTCATCTCTTCCAAAAATATCCATCTCATTAAATTTTATCAACACTTCTCTATCTCTCTCTGCACCACTCTTCTTTCTCCTATAATCGGGCCATCCGAATCCTCTCTATGCACCACTCTTCCTTCTCCTATATTCGGTCCATCCGAATCCCATTCTTCACTTCTTCTCTTCCCTTCCTCTTCTTCTCTCTCCTTCCTTCTTCTCTTCCACCCGACTATCTCTTTTCTCCTTTTCACAATTTTGACTCTTTATACTATGTCGAGGAACCAACTCAATCAAAAGCTCAAGGTTGTGGTTATGGCTCAGGAAATGTTTCTTATACTCTAACACGTCTCCTCACGTACAAGCGTAGTCTTTTTCTTCGAGCATTGCACATGAAACCTTGTTTTTTTTAAACTGGGAGATGCTGAGTTTCGAACCTGTGACCTCTTAGTCAATAAGTCTCTGATACCACGTCAAGGAACCAACCCAACCAAAAATTCAAGCTTGTGGTTGTGGCCTAAGAAATGTTTCTTATACTCTAACATACTCCTCCCCTTCTTTCACGTCTTTATTGTCTTTAAGATCTGCCATATATGGGTCTTTATCTTCTTCTCCTTGTCTTTCTCCCCCTTTCTTTTTTCTCTTTCTCCAATATATGGCGACGACAGAGCTGAAGTGATGGTAGGGAGGACTAGCAGAGTTGGCGGGGTTTGGGCGATAGTGGTGGGAGTCAATGATGGTGGGGATGGTGGTGGTGTGGTCTGAGGCGGAGATGATAGGGCCGACGTTGGTGGGGCCGGGTCTAGGGCATCGATGATGGGTTGGTGGTGGTGGGGCCTCGAGTTGGGACGCACGCCTCTCGGATGTCTAGACTATAATTCGGCCTAAATTATGTATGTTTGTCATCTTGTTCCAATCTTTTTGCTACCAATAAAGCTTGATTCAGCATCTTCTTGACTTGTGATCTTCAATTTGAAACATTTTTCTTCTAATTTGACCGTAATATGTTTGGAAAAACTAAATTTAATTATGAACAATTTTTTTATTAACATTTTTGTAAAATGAATTTTTAAGCATGAAAAATTATTTAAATTTCTTATTTTATTTTTATTTACGCGCAAGAACGTTAAAATATGAGATATAAAATAAGACCAAAAATGGACTTATCAAATCTGATAAGAAAAGATGCTACACGAAGTAGACAAACAAACATTTACTTGATTATATCCAACTGATAATTACAAATGCTACACTTAGGCATTTGCATTATTGATAATTAGAGATACTACACTGTATTACAATATATACGGAGTATATAGTCTGGTTAAGTTATATACTACAAAAACCATGAAAAATCCCCAAGACAATACCAAGGTAAAATCTCATTGAGTAAGATACAACACTTGTGAGTCTTTGCCATCCAAAATCTGTGCAAAAAATTGTCATGTTTGCACAGGAAAAAAACAAGTACCCTATCTCAGGGTACTCATTGACTCCTAAATTCTGTAGTAATCTTCCTTCCTTCTTTGGTCATCTTAGTTTTGTTCATTTGAGGGATTTTGAATTGGTTCTCCCCATTGTTATTAAGAACCTCGCCCATCACCTGGCCTCTTGAAGGGTCAAGAATATTACTCTATTCAGTTTTTCAGGTGACGGTTCTTCAAATGTTATTGTAACAACATGAAACAAGCTAAGTTTGCCAAGGACATATGAGCAGCTTGGTCTTGCAGTGTGTCAATAAACCTAAAGAATCAAAATCAAGTACATTCAGGTTTGGATTGTTTGGAGGCTGGATTTTTAATTCAATATTCCAGTCACCTTCATGACATGCTAGTAAAACTTCTTGGTCATTGCCATCCACATGAAAATTTGCATTATCTTGCTAAATTATAATATTTCTTGAAGAATCTAGCGATTTTTACTTAATTGCTGGTAGTAGCTAACTCTGCATAGGATTAAAATAATTCATGAGTTTCATATAATCTATGGTTTCTAAAGTATCTATCAAAAATTTTCAAAATATTAATTGGAGACACCCCAAAATATCTGATTCTATATTCGGTTTGGTTTTTTTGTATATATGATCCAAAATATCATTTTAAAATAAAAATATCCATTTTACAGATCGAATCATCTTTTGGACTTGTTTCTTTTAAGATTTGTAAGATTTTTTAAAAATTAAAATAAAGTCTGATTGTTTTTTTCCCACTAAAATCCTGAAGTTTTTAAGCGAGTATGATTTTTTTTAAAGTGAAATTTGCAGTGAATAGGACTAAAACATAAGTCATTTCTCAGTATATGAATTAAACTTTTTTATTCCTTAAATATGACTTAATAATGTCTAGTGAGAAGAATAATGTCCAAGTGATGATGGACATTTAGTTGAATAATGACTAATAGATAATGACCAATGGTCCTACATTAGGAAATAAAGACATATGATCCTATATTTAGAAAGTCATTATGTTTTAGTCCTATTTAGGTAAATTACCCTTTTTTAAAATCTTGATTTTTTTCTAATTAAATACGGAGTATGTAAAAAAAATTCTATAAAAAAATCACGAGAAAAAGACTAAAGTAGGAGTAAACATTGAAAATATACTAAAATAGGAGTCATATATTTTTATTCTCGAAATAGGAGTTAAAATGCATTTACAGTGTCAATCACGACTATATACATTACCAAAAAGTATAATGAATTATACGGAGTACATGTAAGTGCATATTACCACAATACCAACTCATATTTAGAAAATAAAAACATGAGATCTTGTATTGGTACTTTCTCTATGTTTTACTTCTATTTATGCTGATTTATTTAAAAACTACTCCGTATTTTTTAAATAACCTGAATTTGTTTGTTTTTTTCTCTTTTTCTCAATGTGTTTACACATAATGTATTATAATACGGAGTACTAATTTAAAATAAAAAAAAATATGTAAAATTGTAGTCCTCATTTTTTTTCAGAACATCCCTAAAATAGTCATTTTAAATTATACTTTTAGAAAAAGTTTTGTCGCTTATATTTTTTGCTTATATTTTTTTTTTATTATGTATCATTTCTACCATACAATTTTTCTTTCTTTTTTTTTTTTTAATTTTTCGTGCCAAACCATGGAGTTTATTGGAGTATTAAACTGAGTAAATTGAGGGCTTTGAGGCACAGGGTCAAGTTAGGGTTGCGGAAACTCTTGAAATCAGAGCAGGATCACTTTTTCCCGCCCATCTCGCATCAATTTCACCCCCTTTGAAACAATGGCGGCGGCGGCGGCCGGACCATCCGGGAGTCTGAAGCTCCTCATCGACAAGACTGCCGGCAAGGTCGTTTTCGCGGAAGTGGAGAAACCTTTCGTGGATTTCTTGTTCCACCTCATGTCGTTGCCGCTCGGTACGGTAATCAAACTCGTTACCCAGAAATCCATGGTCGGCGCCCTCGGCAATCTCTACGGCAGCATCGCCGAAATTAGCGACACTTACCTGCAGCCCGGCACGGAAAAAGATGTCTTTTTGAACCCCAAAGTTCAGATCCTCTCTCGCGAAGTTCCACTCCTCCTGCCGGGGGCCGAAGGCAATTCCGAGACCAAGAAGCTTTACCTCTGCAGCGGCGTCAGAGGCGGCAACTGCGGCCACTACACTCGTTATTGCAATGACCCGACGGCTGAATGTCCCGACTGTGGCAGATCAATGAGCCTCGAGATGGCTTCGTTTTCCCCAGAGAAGGTGGCGGGGTCTTCTTCCTCTGGCGGCGAAGGGGGCGGTTTTGTGAGGGGGGTGCTGAGTTATATGGTGATGGATGACTTGAGGGTGATGCCGCAGTCAACAATTTGTGCCATTACCACACTGAATGAGTGCAAAGTGAAGGACTTTGGGTCTCTTGATGTGAAGGTGGTTCAATTTGAAGCTGATGTGGTAATTCCACTGCCCATTCTTTGATTTACTTCCTTCAATTCTATTCTATGATGTTTGGTGTACATGTTTCTATTGATGATGATGATGATCTCCTTAACTTGCACTAAATAAAGAAAAGAACAACAAGAAATTGAACCTTAACCATTTATATTTTGCTTACTTAACTCTTTATGTTTGAAAGGAAAGTCAAAGGGTGAAGTTAATTTTCTTATTTTGGTTCAGATTTTCCCATGACCAAGTCATCAGTTTTCATTAATTATCATTTTCCAATGTTACCAAACACCACATTTTCCTTCTTTAAGGTAGTTTGGCTCGTTAAGGGATTAGTTAAGGTACGTATAGAAGGAAATTAATTTAGTTCCTAACATTATATGTTGAGAGGTTTACCTTACTTGGTTGTTGCAGTCACAATTACATGGCATTGACTTTATCTACCTCAATTGCCCTTGTTAGTTTGTTTCTCCAACAAGATCAAATGAGATACCCTTTTGTCCTGCTTTGTCTTGGGCAGTTAGTTATAGGCTGGGGGCATTTACCTAATTCAGCTGCCTGACAATTCAAATTTGACAAAATATTGGCATTGTGATTTATGAGGCTACTATTACTGTTGAAGGATAATATGTATATCAACTTCTTTTCTCGATTCACTCAACCAAATTCTTGTACATTCACCCATGCACTCAATAACGCAATGACATGACTTTAGAAAATGACTTGTTATATACTCCCTCCGTCCCAAAAAGATTTACACCTTTCAAAAAAATTGTGTTACACAATCTCCTACTCATTTCTATTAAAAAATCACTTTTACCTCTTACTTTTTCAAACCTTACCTATCACATCATACCTTTTTCCTAATAATCTACACATCACATCCTACTTTTACCCATCACATCAAGGGTATTTTTGGAAAGTCAACACAAAATTATCCCTCTCTTAGTTTCTACTTTAGTCAAAATGGGTAACACTTTATGGGACGGAGGGAGTACTACGTAGCATAATGAACAAGAGAGTTACAATTACATGGGTATTTGCAATTCACTATTTGTTTTGTGATTGCTTCTATTTACCACATTCACAATCACTCTGAAGAAGCCCTTTTGGATTAAAATGTCTATTGAGATCTCCAATTCTTCATATCCCTAATTGTTCTCACCACTAGCTAGAAATAGGCTTCTCTAGAAGTTTCCCTACATCTCTACATCTTCAGAGTCTTCTAAAAAATTTCTACAAACTTTCATAATGTAATAGAATAATTTAGAGGACCCCACACATCTGTGGAATATTTTAGAAGATTATATATTCTGTTTACACACTTTTCTTGAGAGTTTCACGCTTTTTTAAAAAGGTCTAGAGTATTTAAGAGAGTTCTATACTATTCTACAAAGTTCTAGATAGCTCCACACCTCTCTAGATAACTCCACGATCTTCTACAAAATTTTACACACTTCCACTAGCTTCTAGAATCTGTAGAATCTTCCTAACACTTACATCAACCTAGTTTGGTGGCTAGCTCTCTTTAATTGTGTTAAGTTGTATTGTTTGTGATGGAAACAAATAATATCCTTAATATGAATGGTGATGTCTAATTTAACTTGTTCATCTAAGTCATTGATTGTACAGGAATCTAAGGCGAATTGTTCAATTTAACTCGATAATTGAAAAGAGGGACTATTTCGTTGTGTTATTATTTGTTTGCAGGGACTGAAGTTGTTGAAGGCGGCATTACAAACTGATGCAGTTCTCACAACTGTCTTCCTTGGCAAAAGTGTTGAAGGAAAGATCGAAATTGGCGGCGATTAGAAATAGCAGTCACTTAGTTTCTTCTACCACCCCCCACTCCGGATTTTTTTTATGTAGTGAGATTTTGATGTTTCTTTGAGGCTCTAAGTTGAGAAATAATACTTGTTGGTTTGCAATTGACACCATGTTGATTGCATTAATTACATCTGCTTTATGAGCATTTGTGCACAACACTGATTATTTATTGTCCTTGTACCCTTCGACGAAGAGATGCACGACCTTCTTCAATTCCCCAAGTGCTGGTCATCGTTGATGCTCGCATGCTGGAGTTGGCCGGTACAATTGAAGGCACGCTGGAACTGCAGCTTCGCCACTACTCTTTGTCGGAAGTAGGGGTGAACATGGTCCTGGTACGGAACCGTCACCGGCGGTTCCACCACCGAACCAAAGACAGAGACGGGGCCAGTTACAAAAATCGGACCCGGAATCGGTGGACACGGGTCCAGTTCCGGATTGAATATTTCAGTACCGGAACCGCCGGTACCGATTTCGATTTAATTTTTTCTGGCTGACTATTAGTTTGGATAACGGCTATAAAGCTGTTGGGGGTGGGGGGTTTAATTTATACATACCTCTAAACAATTTTAAAAATCCACAAAACATATTCTCTCTCTCTCTCGAAATCTCTAATTCTTCTCAATTCTCAATATAATAATATTTATATATTTTTTATTTTTATATACTATAACCAAATATTATAAATATTACGGAGTATATATTTATATTATCATACTCCGTATATTTTAAATATATTATAATACCAATATTATAAATTTAAAATATTATAATATTTTAATATAGTCTGTTTTATCCATATAAATAATATATTAAAATATCGAGGTAGTCTGGTAGAAAGTTTGTAGATATGGGCGGTGTGAATCGTGGACGTCGAGGTTATAACAAAGGCAAAGGCCAACGCCACCTTCGAAGGTTTGAGCTCACGTGCTTCTAAATGGAGACATCCTATCTCTCTTTTTTTCCTTCAATCCACGAGCAGTTCATGGGCGACGCTATGAGTGATCAAAATTTTGATCAGTACATATGCATCAATAGAGGTAGGATAGGAATGGTGTCAATATTCAAACTCTTGAAGAAATATTTGAGTACATTGATGAAGAGGTCGAACCAACACAGACCTCTGAAGGTGTGGGAAAAGGTAAAAAACCCAAATCTGATTTATTTGTATACCATTTTCATAAAGATACAAAAAATAGCATAAAAATAGAGATTTGTAACCATTGTGGGACAAACATTAGAATGAGAACTTCCAGAGGTTATGGTGGACCGACCAAACACCTCAAAGCGAGGCACCTCATGGAGTATGTCAAAATGATAGCAAAGAAGGGAGAAGTACAAACCCAAATTTCTCATTTTGCAAACAAGGGCGTAAGGGCGACCCTTTTCCTTATAACAATGAGCAAAATAAGCAATAAATAGTTGAAATGACCTGCGAGGAAAATTTACCATACACATTTTCTGAAAAACTAGGATTTATTGATTATTATCAAACCGCACTAAACCCTCAAACAAGAGATTTTCCAAGAAAAACAATTAAGAGAGAAATTATTAGATAATATAAAATTGAAAAAATAATTTGGCAAATTTTTTTCTTACTTTTAATTCTTGTGTTATTATTTGTTTTGATATTTGGAGTAAAACTTATCATAAATTGTCTTACATGGGTGTTACTTATCATTGGATAGATAGTGATTGGATAATGCATAAATGTGTTTTTACATTTTGTGATTTCAATGAATCTCACACGATATTATTATTCTTTTGCTTAAGCGTATTCTCAAAGAATACAATTTGCTTGATTAAGTATTTGCATTTGTTTTGATAATACTACTAATAATACTGCTGTCATTCTTAGACTTAGAGAAATTTGCCTTTAGCACTGCAGGTAGATTTCTACACCAAAGGTGTGTTTGTCATGCTTTAAATTTGTATGTTTAACAAGGGTTAACAGCAATGAGGGGAATTTTGAGCAATATTAATGTGGCTTAGGAAAATTTGGTCTAGTATTCATTCAAAGGCATGTAAGTCTTTCTGTAAATTTAGGATAGAAAACCAATAACATTTGATAAGGACATTACGATTAGATGAAATAGTACATATAAGTTAATTTCACAGGACTATAAAACATGCTTCATTTCTTCGGTGTGAACTTCATCATATGGTTGATTTGAATAAATTTATTCTTGTTGAAAAATTAAACATCGTGTTAGAAGTTTTTAATAATGTAACTTTTACTTTTTTGCATGTTTACAAATCTACGTTGAACAAATTTTTTTCCTGAGTGTATTACAATTGCAACATATTTTCGTGAATGTTTATTTGATCCACTTCTATGCCCCTATGTGTATCCTATGAAGGATAAATTGTATATTCCCCATATTTATAAAATCAATATAATTTGTTATCCACGTTTTAAAATTGATAATTTTAAAAATCTCATGGAGTATTACTATAATTATTTTTACATGAAAATAGTTATTTTTATGACTATTTATTTAATACTCATGAACAAAAGATAGAAATAATGCTATTAATCTTTTTGAGTCATTATTTAAAGAATTTCGAGTTGTGTACGGTAGTACCATACACCAAAAGAAATAGAAGCTCTTCCGCCTCCAATTACGAAAAAAGTTTTAAAACGATACTCGGCATCCAAAAACTAGAAAAGATTACTTTGGTTGTATATTTTTGGGTAAAGCTATTTGTACTGCCAGGATTTATACCTCATTTTGTACATCGCAGGAATGCACCAACATTTTGTGTAAATGCAATGCTAATTTTTGTTAACTCACCAACACTTTGTGTTAGTGTAATTTTTTGTTAATGTACCAACACTTTGTGTAAGTGTGAACTATTAAAATATTGATACATACTTTTGGTGTACAAATGAGGTACAAAATTTGGGGTACATATAGCATGCTCCTATACTTTTCCGTCAAAATTAGATTCAATATATATATCATATATGTATTTGGGACGTTTCCCATGACATTGCCCGGCAATGTCATGTGATGACTCGGGGATGCTCCGGTGCTTCGTTTGTAAGACTGACGGTTCCTATCTCTCCAACTCTCGGTAAACCCGCCCACCCTGCACCCTATAAATTAGTTTTGATTTTGACTTAAAAGTCAAAAATAACTTGTGGAGTACAATTGAAGGAAATGAAGGATTTATCAAAAAGTTAAGAGAGATAAGAACCGTTAATTTTACAAACAGGATAATCTTATGACATACTCCCTCCGTCCCTAAATAAAGTTCCTCTTTCGTTTTTTCTTTGTCCCTAAATAAACTTCTCTTTTTCCTTAAAAAACCCCTTTTACCCCTTACTTTTTCATACCCTACCTATCACATCATACCTTTTTACTAATAATCTACCTATCACATATTACTTTTACACATCACATCAAGGGTATTTTTGGAAAGTCAACACAAAAATATTCCTCTCTTAAATCCTCAAAAAGTCAAAAATGGAACTTTATTTAGGGACGGAGGGAGTAGATCTAATATCATCGTCCATCGAACCCCACCCATATGTATTTGGTTCCAACCTTTTTATCCTCTCTATAAAATAAGGAGGTTCCTTATGAATACGAGAGTCTGTTGCGCTGGGAAGTGACCAAACAAGCCCTGGGCAATGGGACATTCACAGCTGTATGTCACTGTCAACTAAAAAGCTCATCTTTCCAGGCTCCAAAGCTCCGATGGCCGATGCCCTCTCCCAGGAAGAAAACGACGACGTTCTGCCGCTGCTCAAAATCCCAGAAAAAAAACGTTACAGAACAGTTACAAGCAACAACAACTAGACGGCAGAAACCTCTGCGTTTGAGGGTCAACTCAACTCCCTCACCTCCCTTCCACCATCTTTGACTGAGTCATTCTCGCTCCCCCCCAATCCTTCCGAGTCGACTCACTTATTCTATTCCCCTACCCTGTTTTCTTCTCTCGTCATACCGTATACGCGAAACATTGTGTCCCGCCTGCAGGTGTTCAAAAGTGTCAACACGTCGTGGTTCATCTCGTTCCAGCTTCAATTGCACAGGATCTGAATCAAATTCGCGTTTGTAGTCCGAAAATACCTAGCTTTGCTAGGGTTTTGATGCGGTGGTTGTGCCAGGGTTTTTGAATTTCGTTGTGTTTTGCTGGACACCAGCTTTGTGCGGTTAGGGGTTTACTGTCTGCGAGGATGATGGTGTCGAGGGGATTGTTTGGGTGGTCGCCGCCACACATTCAGCCGTTGACTCCTGTGTCGGAGGTTTCGGAGCCGCCGGAGTCACCCTCCCCGTACATGGACAATGGCGCAGACGTGCTTCCGCCTGAGATGGAGGAGGAGATTGAGGACGAGAATGAGGAGATGGAGCCGCCGCCTGCTGCTGTGCCTTTCTCTAAGTTGTTTATTTGCGCTGATCGCCTGGATTGGTTTCTCATGGCGGTTGGATCACTAGCGGCAGCTGCCCATGGCACTGCCCTGGTACTTTACTTGCATTACTTTGCTAAAATTATTCAGTTACTTAGGCACAGCTCGGAGCCCCCGGATAAGTTGTTCGACAGATTCAATGAGGTACTATACACAGCCAATTATTTGTCATTTCTTGCTATTTCTGGTAAGAATTATAGGAATGCTTTGGGCACATTCTTTTCTAGGAGAACTTCATGGATAGAACAATGGTAAGTTAGCAACAAAGTAATTGTAGAATAGATGTATGGTTTCTTTTTTTTATTATAATGGTGCGAGCAATGAGTGGGTAGTGGAGACTCTGTTGTATGATCCCTTGTAAGTTTAACTAAGCCCAAAATACTAGAGGAAGATGTGTGTAGACTGCAGAAACTCATTAAGTGATGTTATTTCAATTCAATAGAGATCACCAGTGTTTAAAAAAATAAATCGTATGCTTTTGGTAGTATTCTTTGTCATGTAAATTGTTGAAATTAGTTCCATTAAGCACATTAGTTTCATATGTACTTTTTTCCCTTTGTTCTCGTTGGAACCTGAGCATGAAACACAGGACATTAAAGTTATTTAGCCTAGGCCTCAAGAACTTAATTGGATGGGTTGTGCATTATCTTATGGTTTTGAGGTTTTATTTAGAAGAAGACACACTTTTTGCTGACTATAAACAGTATTGGCCTATTGGGTAAATCCTGCTTGTTGTTCCTTGCTTTAAATAACTCATGAACTAATCAATCCTGAAATTCTCATACATATTTTCGTTCATATGGATATATCTGCCCCTTTAAAATTACAATGCCTTGGAATTTTGTTTTATATGCTCATGATACTTAGGAGTGGTGAAGAATAAGACATGATTATGACAAGTTTTTCCATTCATCTATGTATTATGATATTTTCCTTGCAACAACAAGAACAAGAACAACAAAGCCCACGATAATCCCAAATCTGTAAGGGTCTTGGGGGGAGGGGTCAAGATGTATGCAACCTTACCCATGTAAAAAGCAGAGAGACGTGCAAGCAAACAATTAGTTTTTTTTCTTATTTCAAGCATTGTTCCTTTGTAAGAAGGTTGCAACCGGCACTATGCCAGTATGCTATTTTTTAATACAGGCATTTCTAGTTTTTTCTAATTTTAGACAATTAAATGATGTACTAAAGTCTAAAACTTTCATGCCACCAACTCCAACACAGTTGGGAGTTGGGACTAGTGCGGTGGTGATGATACTCTTAGGAATAATTGAACTTCCCATTGAAACATTGACTGACAGTTAAATCATGACATCACATGTTTCGAATGATTATTCTTTGACACTATGGTGTTCAGTTAAAGGCTCTTCTAGAATTGTTTTAAGCATTTTATTAAAATTTTATACAATAACTTTTATGCCACCAACCCCCAACATAATTTGGATTAAAGCGATGATGATGGTGAAGTGGTGATAATTTTAGGAATACTTTAACATCACCTTGCTATGTTGTCAATTACATTATAAGGTCTTATGTTATGGTTAATTGTTGATTGGCACTATGAGGTTCAGTCAAAGGCTTTCCTAGAATTGTTTGACACTTTTATATATACATTTTTTGTTATACTCCCCCCTGTCTTGTAAAAAATTCACACTTTCCGTTTTCGTGTGGAATGAGTGGCTAACAATTCTTCTCTTTCTTCTAAACAAATGTTAACCATAAGGTGTTCCTTTTTTCAACACTTTTTACACTGAAAGTCAAACAAGGAAGTTTTTTCCATTTTGACATTATTTTGCAATTGGCATCAAACATTATGAAGTTAAAACTACTCCCACATCCATTCTGTGAAATCAGAGCACGAAGATCGAACTTTTATTCGCATTCAATTTGGCTCACATGTGCATTTTGTAATTTCTTAATTTAAAATTCCTCTAGTTAATCTGTTCTTGTAATTGATTTCTACCCTACAGCTTGCTTTGACCATTGTTTATATTGCTGCTGGTGTTTTTGCTGCTGGTTGGATTGGTAAGCTGAGTTTCTGGTTATGTGATCTTATACTTTTAGTTTCACTTTCCCACAAAAAATATTTTTTCAAGTATATGTGATTCTAAATATCTAACCAGTCTCTTTATGGTAGAGGTATCGTGCTGGATTCTTACCGGAGAGCGGCAGACTGCTGTAATAAGATCAAAATATGTTGAAGTTTTACTGAATCAAGATATGAGTTTCTTTGATACCTATGGAAATAATGGAGATATTGTCAGCCAAGTGTTGAGTGACGTTCTTCTTATTCAGTCAGCTCTTAGTGAAAAAGTATGATAAGTAGCATCTTGCTTCTCTAATTCACTTGTTTTGAATTGTTTTTTTCTCTTTGATAATCTGCTTTCTTACTACTTTTCTCATTTTCCATGGCCTGCTTTAGTCTGCGAGTTTCTTACATTTTCCCAATGTTACACAGGTGGGGAACTATATCCACAATATGGCTACATTTTTCAGTGGTCTTGTGATTGGATTTGTTAACTGTTGGCAAATTGCTCTCATAACTTTAGCCACTGGCCCATTCATTGTAGCAGCAGGAGGAGTATCAAATATATTTTTACATAGACTCGCGGAGAACATCCAAGATGCATATGCTGAAGCTGCTAGTATTGCAGAACAGGTAATGTGTAATGTAAATTATTTATTTCAGCTACTGTGTCTCTTTGTTTTCCTATTATGGTAAAACGTTCGTAATGTTTGTTGGAATTTAATTGACAATAAAGGTCAAGGGCCCTGTTTACAAATTTATCAACTCACCAATTTTTATTTTCGTGTGTTGCCGTTTTTTTTGTTTGGCTAAAGAACTTTTTAGCATATTGTGTCAGTATTTCTGAAACAGCATCCCATGCCAATCTAGTGAAATACAATTATGGTTACTTTATCGTGTTACTAGGTTATTGCATGCACATCGTGGAAAGTTAATCACTATTTGGTTAGATTTTTTTTATCACGTGAGCTGCTGATTGGAACAACATTTGAATCTGAAATCTCTTATAGTAAATCTTTAACTTATGCTATTGTGTTAGATTACCTCTTAAATGGAGAACCTGAGCCCAATAATAATTGAAGTCACCTTGGCTCATGCTTTCATTAATGATGAGCTCACCTTTGTGATCTATTTACACAAATGTATAGAAACTCAAACCAACACACCAGCAAATCTGAATATAGAACCACTTCAAATGGTGGAGTCGGCTACATGGATCAAAATCAGCTCTAGCTTCAATACCAGATTGATTGTTGTGATGCCCTCATTTCCTTTAATCTAATGCCCATGGTGATGACATAGATGAGTACACAAAAATAAAGAAGAGATGGGTATTTCCTAGGAAGGAATTTTGAAAGAAAACTTTGCTAAGACTCTAGGAGAGGAAATAAAGCGAATATGCCAAACCTCACATGACAGATTGATTTACAAGTAAAAAAAATTAAAANGCTTACCTGCATAAGAAATCTTCAAGGTACCCCATTTAGATAAAAAGCCATCCACAGATTTGAAGAGAGGAGCATAATCATTCTCAGAGATTCTTTGTGAAGCCAGAGGAAGTCCCAAATATCTAACCGGGAGGTGTCCACGAGGAAAGGGGGCCAAATCCAGGATGTCTTGGCTAGCATCCCTAAGTCTCCCAGCGATAAATATATTGGACTTAGTAGGATTCAAGGTTAGACCAGAAACACTTGAAAAGTGTTCCAAGGAATGCATAAGGATCTGCATTGAGTGGAAGTCTGTCCGGGAGAAAAGCATAATATCATCTGCAAAAGCCAAATGTGTAATACCCAAGGAGGCACAGTTTTTGTGGTAGGAAAACAGCCCTTCTTTAGCACGAGTGTTGAGTAATCTAGAGAGATACTCAATACAAAAAAGGAAAAGGGTTGGTGCCATAGGATCCCCTTGTCTCAGCCCACGTTTGCTCCTGAAAAAGCCATGACCTTCCCCATTAACCATAATAGAAGAGGAGGCAGAAGTCACACACTCCATAACGAAGGAAATGAAGGTAACTAGGAAGCCCAGGCCAAGTATCACCTCCTCAAGAAAGCTCCAAGAGACAGTGTCATAGGCTTTGGTGATATCCAGTTAAATCATGCAACTAGGTGTGGACCTCTTGATGGCATAATCTCTGATCAAATGTTGGGCCAGAAGGAGGTTATCCAGTTTTTTTAATTGTTTGTGCCAAACAGTGGAGTATTAAATTGAGTACAGGTCTACAGGGTATTGAGGCACAGCGCACAGGGTATTGCACAAGTTAGGGTTGCGGAAACTCTTGAAATCAGAGCAGGATCACTTTTTCCCGCCCATCTCGCATCAATTTCACCCCCTTTGAAACAATGGCGGCGGCGGCGGCGGCCGGACCATCCGGGAGCCTGAAGCTCCTCATCGACAAGACTGCCGGCAAGGTCGTTTTCGCGGAAGTGGAGAAACCTTTCGTGGATTTCTTGTTCCACCTCATGTCGTTGCCGCTAGGCACGGTAATCAAACTCGTTACCCAGAAATCCATGGTCGGCGCCCTCGGCAATCTCTACGGCAGCATCGCCGAAATTAGCGACACTTACCTGCAGCCCGGCACGGAAAAAGATGTCTTCTTGAACCCCAAAGTTCAGATCCTCTCTCGCGAAGTTCCACTCCTCCTGCCGGCGGCCGAAGGCGATTCTGACACCAAGAAGCTTTACCTCTGCAGCGGCATCAGCGGCAACCACTGCCGCTACTTTACAAGTTATTCCCATGACCCGACGGCTAAATGTCCCAGTTGTGGCCGGTCCATGAGCTTCGAGATGGCTTTGTTTGCCCCGGAGAAGGTGGCGGGGTCTTCTTCCTCTGGCGGCGAAGGGGGCGGTTTTGTGAGGGGGGTGCTGAGTTATATGGTGATGGATGACTTGAGGGTGATGCCGCAGTCGACAATTTGTGCCATTACCACACTGAATGAGTGCAAAGTGAAGGACTTTGGGTCTCTTGATGTGAAGGTTGTTCAATTTGAAGCTGATGTGGTAATTCCACTGCCCATTCTTTGATTTACTTCCTTCAATTCTATTCTATGATGTTTGGTGTTCATGTTTCTATTGATGATGATGATGATCTGCTTAACTTGCACTAAATAAAGAAAAGAACAACAAGAAATTGAACCTCAACCATTTATGTTTTGCTTACTCAACTCTGAACTCTTTATGTTTGAAAGGAAAGTCAAAGAGGGGAAGTCAATTTTCTTATTTTGGTTCAGATTTTCCTATGACCAAGTCATCAGTTTTCATTAATTATCATATTTTCCAATGTTACCAAACACCACATTTTCCTTCTCTAAGGTAGTTTGGCTCGTTAAGAGATTAGTTAAGGTACGCATAGAAGGAAATTAATTTAGTTCCTAACATTATATGTGGAGAGGTTTACCTTACTTGGTTGTTGCAGTCACAAAAACATGGCATTGACTTTATCTACCTCAATTGCCCTCGTTAGATTGTTTCTCAAACAAAGATCAAATGAGATACCCTTTTGTCCTGCTTTGACTTGGGCAGTTAGTTATAGGCTGGGGGCATATACCTAAATCAGCTGCTTGACAATTCAAATTTGACAAAATATTGGCATTGTGATTTATGAGGCTACTCTTACTGTTGAAGGATAATATGTATATCAACTTCTTTTCTCGATTCACTCAACCAAATTCTTGTACATTCACCCATGCACTCAATAACGCAATGACACGACTTTAGAAAATGACTTGTTATATGCTATGTAGCATAATGAACAGGAGAGTTACAATTACACGGGTATTTGCACTTCGCTATTTGTGTTGCGATTGCTTCTCTTCACTTCACTTACAATCACTCTCAAGAAGCCTTTTTGGATAAAGTTGTCTAATGAAATCTCCAATTCTTCATACCCCTACTTTTTCTCACCACTAGAATTAGGCTTCTCTAGAAGTTTCCATACATCTCTACATCTTCAGAGTCTTCTAAAAAGTCTCTACAAACTTTTATAATGTAATAGACATCTCTAGAATATTTTAGAAGATTCTATATTCTTTTTCCACACTTTCCTTGAGAGTTTCACGCTTTTTTAGAAAGCTCTAGCGTATTTAAGAGAGTTTTATACTCTTTTACAAAGTTCTAGATAGCTCCACACCTCTCTAAATAACTCCACAATCTTCTGCAAAATTTTACACACTTCCACTAGCTTTTAGAATTTGTAGAATCTTCCTAACACTTACATCAACCTAGTTTGGTGAATAGCTCTCTTTAATTGTGTTATGTTGTATTATGTGTGATAGAAACAAATACTATCCTTAATACTCCCTCTGGGAAAAATTTTCCCGTTTGGACTTTTTCTCATTTTTTTGAATGGTTAACTTTGGAAGGGAAATGACTAATATACCCTTCATTTCTTACTTGTTTTACACTTTTACAGCCCAACACCCCCCTCCGCTGATTTCTACCGAGGCTAGCACCCACCATCCCCCATCATCGTCGCCGATGTTTTCTGCCGAGGCGAGCACCCACCACCCCCCATACCCATCATTGTTGGCTCTATCATCGTCCCCCCCCTAACCTGACCATCTCCATCGACCCTGCCACAATTGACCCAGGCCCACCACTGTCGCCTTAACCGTCAACACCATCGTCCCTCAACCCTCATCACCATCGCCCATCAACCCTCACCAGTCACCACCGTGCCCCTTCAACCAGATCTACTGTAGATCTCGGAGAGAGGGAAAAGAATAATTGGAAAAAGAAAGGAAGAAGAAGAAAAGGAATAAGAAGAAGATTTGAGAAGAAGAAGAAGAAGGAACGAAGAATAACAGATCTGGAGACGGGGGGAAGAAGAATAGGGGGAAAAGAAAAGGAAAAGGTGAAGAGGAAAGACAGGAGGAACGGATGAAGAAACATAGAAGAGGAAGGAGAGAAGGAGAAAAAGATAAGAATTGAGTGGCGAGGAAGGGGAGAGAAAGGGGAGAGGGGGAGAGAGTGAAAATGGTAAGTGTGGGTATTTTGGGTAGTTAGTGTATCAAAAATTGAAATGGGAAGATTTTTTCCGGACGGGGAAAAAGGAGAAACGGGAAGATTATTTCCGGATGTCTAATTTAGCTTGTTCATCTAACTCATTAATTGTACAGGAATCTAAGGTCAAGTGTTCAATTTAACTCGATAATTGAAAAGAGGGACTAATTCGTTGTGTTATTATTTGTTTGCAGGGACTGAAGTTGTTGAAGGCGGCATTACAAACTGATGCAGTTCTCACAACTGTCTTCCTTGGCAAAAGTGTTGAAGGAAAGATCGAAATTGGTGGCGATTAGAAATAGCAGTGACTTAGCTACTTCTACCACCCCCCCCACTCCGGATTTTTTTTATGTAGTGAGATTTTGATGTTTCTTCGAGGCTCTGAGTTGAGAAATAATACTTGTTGGTTTGCAATTGACACCATGTTGATTGCATAAATTACATCTGCTTTATGAGCATTTGTGCACAACACTGATTATTTATTGTCCCTGTACCCTTCGACGAAGAGATGCGCGACCTTCTTCCCCAGCGCTGGTCATCATCGCGGGTTGTGTGGTGGTCTGATGCTGGATTTGGCCGGCACAATTGAAGGCACACTGGAGGAACTGCAGCTTCGCCACTACTCTTTATGGGAAGTAGGGGTGGACACGGTCTTAATACGGAACCGTCACCGGCGGTGCCGCCACTGGACCAAAGACCGAGACGGGGGGCTGGGTACAAGAATCTGACTCAGAATCAGTGGACACGGGTCCAATTTCGGGTTGAATATTTCAGTACCAGAACCGCCGGTACCAGTTTCGATTCAATTTTTTCCTTTTTTTCTCGCCAACTGTTGGGTTGGATAACGGCTATAAAGCCGTTGGGGGTCGGGGTGGGGGTTTAATTTACACCTATATATACACCTAAAAAAATTTAAAAATCCACAAAACATACTCTCTCTCTCTCCCCCCCTCCCTCTCCCCCCCCTCTTTCTCTCTCTCGAAATCTCTAATTCTACTCAATTCTCAATATAATCATATTTATATATTTTTTATTTTTATATACTATAATCAAATATTATAAATATTATATATTTATATTATAATATATTTGAAATATATTATAATGCCAATATTATAAATTTAAAATATTATATTATTCTAATACATTGTCTTTTTTATCAATATAAATAATATATTAAAATATCGTGGTAGTCTGGTAGAAAGTCTGTAAATATGGGTGGCGTTGTGAACCGTGGACGTGGAGCTTCCAACAAAGGCAAAAGCCAACGCCACCTTTGAAGGTTCGAACTCACATGCTTCTAAAGGGAGACATTTTGTCTCTTCTTTTCCTTCAATTCCCGAGCAGGTCATGGGCGATGCTTGTAATGTTTTAGATTTGTATGTTCAACATAGATTAGCAGCAATGGGGGTGGGGATTTTGACCAATATTAAGGTGGGTTAAAAAAAATTGGGCTAGTCGTATTCAATCAAAGGCATGGAAGTCTTTCCTAAATTTAGGAATAAAAAATTAATAACATTTGCTAAGGATATTACAATTAAATGGAATAGTACATATAAGTTGATTTCACAAATTCTGGACTATAGAACATGCTTCATTTCTTAGGTATGAACTTCATCATATGGTTGAATTGAATAAATTTACAAGAGTGTATTCAATGGGGAGTCTGCAGAATTTTTTGAACTTTCAAAATCTCAAGTTATTCAATCGAGATTTCCAAAAAATCGTTAAAAATCCTGAGGTATTCAATAAAGATTTTAAAAAGTCTTAAAATTTTTTTAAGTATTCAATAGTCAATGAATTTTAATACTTCATAGACTTTGTTAAATTGTCTCCCAAAATACTGCTTATGCCTCAAACCCCTTCTCAGAGCATTAGATTTCTATGGACTTTTGGACGAAGCAATTGTGTGGACGACGTAGATCTTGTTTGCGGCAGCCGCCACTAGTGAGTCCCGACTTTGAAGACGGCAGCGATTGCGGCTACGGCACCCATCTCAGTTTCAACCTCGACGAGAATCAAAGGACACCAAAGATATTTGACCGGTTCTATGACTCATCGTCTGGTGATGACGACTACGAGGCAGCGACTCACCCGGGGATGCCCTATCTCTTGAATTGAGGCCTCATCCCTTGACACAACCCAAAATTGGGGTTTCTTGAGGACCAGTTGACCGTGAAGGACCTCTGCCTTCATTACCGCTAGAGGAGGGCTGCTGGAGTGTCCCTATCCTTGGATGGTGACGGTGCTACTGGGGAGGAGAAATCCTTTGGATGGCTCAATAGAAATCCATAGAGTCTCTTCTTTTGCTTGTGGCATTGGAGGAGGGATGTGAACTTTTAAGACAAATTGTCTCTTCTTTTAAAATTGTCCCTGGAGTGCCGCTGGAGGGAGGGCTGCTATCATTGGATGGCTCAATACAAATCCGCTGGAGAAGAGCTGCTTGAGTGCCGCTCTCTTTGGATGACTCTATAGAAATCCATGGAGTCTATGAAATCCATGTAAATCAGTAGAAAAGTTGGACAAACTTTACATGTAGTCTATGGATTTTCTAATTTCACTAATTTTTTATAGTCTAAAAAAAATCCAATACAGTCTCAATTGAATATACACCCTTATTCTTGTTGAAAAATTGAACACCGTGTTAAAAGTTTTTAACAATGCAACTTTTACTTTCTCGCATGTTTACAAATCTACGACAAATAGATTTTTTTCTGAATGTATTACAATTGCAACATATTTTCGTGAATGTTTATCAGATCCTCTTTGTACCCCTATGTGTATCCTATGAAGGATAAATTGTATATTCCCCATATTTATAAAATTAGTATTATTTGTTATCCACGCTTTAAGATTGATCCATAATTATTTTTTACATGAAACCTGTTATTTTTATGACTATTTATTTAATAGAATGAACAAAAGATAGAGATAATGCTATTAATCTTTTTGAGTCACTATTTAAAGAATTTCAAGTTTTGTACGGCAGTACCGTACACCAAAAGAAATTGCAGCTCTTCAGCCTCTAATGACGAAAAAAGTTTTAAAAGGATACTTGGCATCCAAAAACAATAAAAGATTACTTCGATCGTATATTTTTTTGTCAAAATTAGATTCGATATATTATATATGTATTCAGGACGTTCCCATGGCATTGTCCGGTAATGTCATGTGATGACTCGGGGTGCTCCGGTGCTCCGTTCGTAAGACTGACGGTCGTGGCATCCGGGCGACCTTCAAGGACCCCTCAATTGCAAGATTTGATGAAGATTTGCAAAACCCCCAATTTTGGATCCAATTTCGAATTTTAGGGTTTTTTCGAGTAGAAAAATTCAGATTCGAGAAGTTACAGGCCAAATTAGACAAAATGGTTTGGATATTATTGATCCTCGTCTCAAGACGAAGAGAATGACATTGGTCCCGTCGGAATCGGAAAAAGTTCATTTTCCGGCGACTTTGACCGGCGGGCGGCGGCGGCGGGGCGTGGAAGAAAAGAAAAGAAGAAATGAGGTCAAATTGAAAATTTTAAAATATATAAAATTCGAATTTGGCCCTAATGACCGGAAGTTAATCTAGAAACGGGCTAATGGCTCATTAGTGAAAGGATTGTGTAAGTTCAGGGATTTTTGTGAAAGGATTTGAAGTTGAGGTACCACTTCAAAATTCCAGCTAAAGTTCAGGTACCATTTGTGAAATTTAGCCGTATAAAGAAGGAGGTTTCTTATGAATATGAGAGTCTGTTGCGCTGGGAAGTGACCAAACAAGCCCTGGGCAATGGGACATTCACAGCTGTATGTCACTGTCAACTAAAAAGCTCATCTTTCCAGGCTCCAAAGCTCCGATGGCCGATGTCCTCTCCCAGGAAGAAAACGACGACGTTCTGCCGCTGCTCAAAATCCCAGAAAAAAAACGTTACAGAACAGTTACAAGCAACACCAACTAGACGGCAGAAACCTCTGCGTTTGAGGGTCAACTCAGCTCCCTCACCTCCCTTCCACCATCTTTGACTGAGTCATTCTCGCCCCCCAATCCTTCCGAGTCGACTCACTTATTCTATTCCCATCCCCTATTTTTTTTCTCAGTCATACCGTATACGCGAAATATTGTGTACCGCCTGCAGGTGTTCAAGTGCCAACACGTCGAGGTTCATCTCGTTCCAGCTTCAATTTCACAGGATCTGAATCAAATTCGCGTTTGTAGTCCGAAAATACCTAGCTTTGCTAGGGTTTTGATGCGGTGGTCGTGCCAGGGTTTTTGAATTTTGTTGTGTTTTGCTGTACACCAGCTTTGTGCGGCTAGGGGTTTACTGTCTGCGAGGATGATGGTATCGAGGGGATTGTTTGGGTGGTCGCCGCCACACATTCAGCCGCTGACTCCTGTGTCGGAAGTTTCAGAGCCGCCGGAGTCACCCTCTCCGTACATGGACAATGGCTCCGACGTGCTTCCGCCTGAGATGGAGGAGGAGATTGAGGATGAGAATGAGGAGATGGAGCCGCCGCCTGCTGCTGTGCCTTTCTCAAAGTTGTTTATTTGTGCTGATCGCCTGGATTGGTTTCTCATGGCGGTTGGATCACTAGCGGCAGCTGCCCATGGCACTGCCCTGGTACTTTACTTGCATTACTTTGCTAAAATCATTCAGTTGCTCAGGCACAGCTCGGAGCCCCCAGATAAGTTGTTTGACAGATTCAATGAGGTACTATATACAGCCAATTATTTGTCATTTCTTGCTATTTTTGGTAAGAATTATAGGAATGCTTTGGGCCCATTCTTTTCAAGGAGAACTTCATGGATTTAATAATAGTAAGTTATCAACAAAATAGTTGTAGAATAGATGTATGTTTTTTTATTTATTATAATGGGCGAGCAATGATTGGGTAGTGGAGACTGTGTTGTATGATCCTTTGTAAGTTTAACTGAGCCCAAAATACTGGAGAAGATGTGTATAGGGTGTAGAAGATCATTAAGTGATGTTATTTCAATTCAATAGAGATCATCAGTGTTTAAAAAGGAAATTGTATGCTTTTGGTAGTATTCTTTGTCATGTAAATGGTTGAAATTAATTCCCTTTAGCACATTAGTTTCGTATGCACTTTTTTCCCTTTGTTTTCGTTGGAACCTGAGCATGAAAAACAGGGCATTAAAGTTATTTAGCCTAGGCCTCAAGAACTTCATTGGATGGGTTGTGCATTATCATATGGTTTTGAGGTTATAGTTAGAAGTAGACACTTTTTGCTGACTATAAACAGTATTGGGTAAATCCTGCTTGTTGTTCCTTGCTTTAAATAACTCATGAACTGATCAATCCTCAAATTCTCATACATATTTTCGTTTATATGGATATATGTGCCCCTTTAAAATTACAATGCCTTGGGCTTTTGTTTTATATGCTCATGATACTTAGGAGTGGTGAAGAATAAGACATGATTATGACAAGTTTCTCAATTGATCTATGTATTATGATATTTTCCTTGCAACAACAAGAACAAGAACAACAAATCCCACAATAATCCCAACTCTGTGAGGGTCTTGGGGGGAGGGGTCAAGATGTATGTAACCTTGCCCATGTAAAAAGCAGAGAGACGTGCAAGAAAACAATGAGTTTTTTTCTTATTTCAAGCATTGTTCCTTTGTAAGAAGGTTGCAACCGGCACTATGCCAGTATGCTATTTTTTAATACATGCATTTCTAATGTTTTCTAATTTGACAATTAAATGACGTACTTAAGTCTAAAACTTTCATGCCACCAACTTCAACATAGTTGGGAGTTGGGACTAGTGCGGTGGTGATGATACTCTTAGGAATAATTGAACTTCCCATTGAAACATTGACTGACAGTTAAATCATGACATCACATGTTTCGAACGATTATTTTTTGACACTACGGGGTTCAGTTAAGGGCTCTTCTAGAATTGTTTTAAGCATTTTATTAAAATTTGATACAATAACTTTTATGCCACCAACCCCCAACATAATTTGGATTAAAGCGATGATGATGATGGTGAAGTGGTGATAATTTTAGGAATAGTTTAACATCACCTTGCAATGTTGACAATTACATTATAAGGTTATATGTAATGGTTAATTGTTGATTGACACTATGAGGTTCAGTCAAAGGCTTTCCTAGAATTGTTTGACACTTTCATATTTACATTTTTTGTTATACTCCCCCCGTCTTGTAAAAAAAATAACACTTTCCCTTTTCGTATGTCCCAAATGAAATTTCACTTTTTTTTGAAGAGTGGAATGAGTGGCTAACAATTCTTCTCTTTCTTCTAAACAAATGTTAACCATAAGGTTTTCCCTTTTCAACACTTTTTTACCGTGAAAGTCAAACAAGGAAGTTTTTACCATTTTGACATTATTTTGCAATTGGCATCAAACATTATGAAGTTAAAACTACTCCCACATCCATTCTGTGAAATCGGAGCACGAAGATCAAACTTTTATTCCCATTCAATTTGGCTCACATGTGCATTTTGTAATTTCTTAATTTTAAATTCCTCTAATTAATCTGTTCTTGTAATTGATTTCTACCCTACAGCTTGCTTTGACCATTGTTTATATTGCTGCTGGTGTTTTCGCTGCTGGTTGGATTGGTAAGCTGAGTTTCTTGTTATGTGATCTTATACTTTTAGTTTCACTTTCCCACCAAAAAATATTTTTTCAAGTGTATGTGATTCTAAATATCTAACCAGTCTCTTTATGGTAGAGGTATCGTGCTGGATTCTTACCGGAGAGCGGCAGACTGCTGTAATAAGATCAAAATATGTTGAAGTTTTACTGAATCAAGATATGAGTTTCTTTGATACCTATGGAAATAATGGAGATATTGTCAGCCAAGTATTGAGTGATGTTCTTCTTATTCAGTCAGCTCTTAGTGAAAAAGTATGATAAGTAGCAACTTGCTTCTCTAATTCACTGGTTTTGAATTGTTTTTTTCTCTTTGATAATCTGCTTTCTTACTACTTTTCTCATTTTCCATGGCCTGCTTTAGCCTGCAAGTTTCTTACATTTTCCGAATGTTACACAGGTGGGGAACTATATCCACAATATGGCTACATTTTTCAGTGGTCTTGTGATTGGATTTGTTAACTGTTGGCAAATTGCTCTCATAACTTTAGCCACTGGCCCATTCATTGTAGCAGCAGGAGGAGTATCAAATATATTTTTACATAGACTCGCGGAGAACATCCAAGATGCATATGCTGAAGCTGCTAGTATCGCAGAACAGGTAATGTGTAATGGAAATTATTTATTTCAGCTACTGGCTCTCTTTGTTTTCCTATTGTTAGAGTGCATCCCACATCGGAAGTCTAAGAGTAAAATAATCCGGTATATAAGCTCTTGAGTTAAACTAACTAATCGATTGGATTCAATCTTTTAATGTGGTTCAACCCAAGTGTCTTATTACCCAATCGAGTTGTCCATACCCATCCCAAATTCTATCATGGTATCAGAGCAGGTTTTGGCCCACCTCGTTTGTCAAGGTGTCCGTCTAGACGTTCATTCCTAGCGGCCCGTTTGTCTTTAGCCCAGTTGTCCGTATGGAGTATGTATCCAACGGCCTGTGGCCCGTTTAACACGATTGCTCGTCTGGAAGTCCATACCCAGCGACTCGTGGTCCTTTAGGTGTTGGCGCTCAAAAAAAATCAAGGGAATGGGAGTTCATTTGCAAGTGGTCAACTGGTTAGATTCAAAATGGCCCGGTTGTCCACTTGAGGGGGAGTGTTAGAGTGCATCCCACATTGGAAGTCTAAGAGTAAAATAATCCGGTATATAAGCTCTTGAGTTAAACTAACTAATCGATTGGATTCAATCTTTTAATGTGGTTCAACCCAAGTGTCTTATTACCCAATCGAGTTGTCCATACCCATCCCAAATTCTATCACCTATTATGGTAAACGTTTGTAATGTTTGTTGGAATTTAATTGACAATAAAGGTCAAGGGCCCCATTTACAAATTTATTAACACGCCAATTTTTATTTTCATGTTTTGCTGTGTTTTTTTGTTTGGCTAAAAAACTTTTTAGCATATCGTGTCAGTATTTTTGAAACAGCATCCCATGCCAGGCTAGTGAAATACAATTATGGTTACTTTATCGTCTTACTAGATTATTGCATGCACTTTGTGGAAAGTTAATCACTATTTGGTTAGATTTTTTTATCACGTGAGCTGCTGTTTGGAACAACATTTGAATATGAAATCTCTTATACTAAATCTTTAACTTATGCTATGTTGTGTTAGATTACCTCTTAAATGGAGGGCCTGAGCCCAGTAATAATTGAAGTCACCTTAACTCATGCTTTCATTAATGATGAGCTCACCTTTGTGATCTATTTACACAAATGTATAAAAACTCAAACCAACACAGCAGTAAATCTGAATTCAAAACCACTTCACATTTCCTTAACCATATAACAACAACAAAACCTTATTCCACTAGGTGGAGTCGGCTACATGGATCAACGCTCTAGCTTCAATACCAGATTGATTGTTGTGATGCCCTCATTTCCTTTAATCTAATGCCCATGGTGATGACATAGATGAGTACAAAAAAATAAAGAAGAGATGGGTATTTCCTAGGAAGGAATTTCGAAAGAAAATTTTGCTAAGACTCTAGGAGAGGAAATAAAGAGAATATGCCAAATCGCACATGACAGATTGATTTACAAGTAAAAAAAAAATTAAAATTGATCTTTAATGAAAAAGGATTTCCATATCCAGAGAGCTATGGCTGAAAAATACATGAGGCCAGAACAAAATACAAAGTCTGAGCATAGAGCCCTTGTTGGGGGGGGGGGGTTGGTGTAGAATAGGATAGCATATGCGTCTAAAATCAGTTTAATGAATAAGTGTACAACCATACAGCAATGAAGAACTATGATACATTAAAGTGACATACAAGTGTAGAGTGTCTCTTTCGAATTAGCCCTTACTAGTTATGCAGTGTCCAGCTCGTGTGTGTTTCTGTGATATGCTTTGCCCATGATTATCCAGCATGGTTCTTCAATGTTTTCCATGTGAGTGAATTTTGTACTTGTATCACTGACAATCCTGAATAAGAACATTTGGTATGTGCAGGCAGTCTCTTATATTAGAACATTATACGCTTTCACAAATGAAACTTTGTCAAAATATTCATATGCATTATCTCTTCAAGCTTCTCTGAGATATGGTATATTAATAAGTCTTGTTCAAGGCCTTGGACTTGGCTTTACATACGGGCTTGCCATTTGTTCCTGTGCATTGCAACTATGGGTTGGAAGGCTTTTGGTCATTAATGGGAAAGCTCATGGTGGTGAAATTGTATCATCCTTATTTGCTATTATGCTAAGTGGCCTGTAAGCAGCTCCTTATCTGTTCTTCTCAGTGTGTTTTCTATGCAATATTTACACTTTTTTTAATATGCACATTCCACTGATATTCTTTCAGTGGGCTAAATCAGGCAGCAACAAACTTCTATTCGTTCGAGCAAGGGAGAATCGCTGCATATAGACTCTTCGAGATGATAAGCCGTTCATCCTCCAGTGTTAATAATGAAGGAATTACCCTTGCTTCTGTTCAAGGAAATATTGAGTTTCGAAATGTGTACTTTAGCTACCTCTCTCGTCCCGAAATTCCTATCCTCAGTGGATTTTACCTCAGCGTCCCATCAAAAAAGGCTGTAGCACTTGTCGGGAGAAATGGGTCTGGGAAAAGTAGTATCATTCCACTTATGGAGCGGTTTTATGATCCTACATTGGGTATTATTATTATTCTTGCTTTTGTTATTATTATCATTACATTGATTCTTTATCCAGTCATCGATGTATCATCAAAAATTCATTGTTTCCTCCTTAACCATGACCTTCGTTTGTTTCTCCACCTTGTACTCTATCTGCAGGAGAAGTCCTTTTAGATGGAGAAAATATAAAAAATTTAAAGCTGGAGTGGCTCAGAAACCAAATTGGTTTAGTAACCCAGGAACCTGCTTTGTTAAGTTTGAGCATCAAAGATAATATTGCATATGGGCGGGATGCTTCTTTTGATCAAATTGAGGAAGCTGCAAAAATTGCGCATGCTCATACATTTATCAGTTCACTTGAGAGAGCATATGACACTCAGGTATATCTAGTTAGCAAAGTATCCAAGTCTTTCTCTTCTGGATTGTGCCAAGTGGCCTTATTATTCTTATAAAATGTTTGCCTCTTGTAGGTGGGCAGAGCTGGTCTAGCATTGACTGAGGAGCAAAAAATAAAGCTTTCTATTGCCAGAGCTGTTCTCTCAAATCCATCTATCCTTCTCCTTGATGAGGTTACTGGTGGACTTGATTTTGAGGCTGAAAGATCTGTTCAGGAAGCTTTGGATCTCCTCATGTTAGGCCGATCAACTATCATTATAGCAAGACGGCTTAGCCTAATCAGGAATGCTGATTACATTGCTGTAATGGAGGAAGGTCAATTAGTTGAAATGGGTACACATGATGAACTGATTACATTGGATGGCCTCTATGCTGAACTGCTTAAATGTGAAGAAGCCGCGAAACTTCCGCGCAGGTGAGCCTTATTTGCAGCTAATTTATAATTCTATTGATGATGAATGAAACATGTTCTATAAATCTTCTTTTCACGGACAAACTAATATAATATTGATTTTATTAGTGCTCTAAAATCTAGGCAGACTAATCAGTTGGTTGGGTGTAGGTTTGATTTGCTTTCCACTCAGTCTTAAATGCCTGAATTCGATCATTCATCTGTATATTTCTATAAGTACAGGTACATGTTTTCTATTTTTACAATAAAATAAATTTTGAAAGCATATGAGCTATTTTAATGACTAAAGAACACATATTTTTCATTCTATTTTAAATTTTCAATTATTTATTTTTCAACAAAAACCCAAATACTAGGAAAGGAAGTATAAGAACTTTTTTTTGTTTTTCATTACCAAAAAAACAAAAAAATAATAATAAACAAACTAAAAATCATTTTAAACAATGGAGGCCTAGGCTCCTCCACCCGGCTAGGTTTTTCTTCCAGAAGGTGCCTTGGTGCCATCACCATCCTTGTAAATACTTATTATTCCCTCTAACTTGTCATTATCTTTCAGGTTGCCAATGAGAAATTACAGGGATATTTCAACTTTTCAAATTGAAGATTCTTCAGCAAGCCACAGCTTCCAAGAACCCTCATCCCCGAGAATGATCAAGTCACCATCTCTGCAAAGGACTTCTGCCCTACATACATTCCGAGCTTCTGATGCTACATTTAATTCACTAGAATCTCCCCGCAATATGAGTCCTCCACCGGAGCAGATGGTTGAAAACGGAACTACGTTAGATGGACAGACTAAGGAGCCATCCATAAAAAGGCAGGATAGTTTTGAAATGAAACTTCCAGAGCTACCTAAGATTGATGTTCATTCTGGAAATCGCCTAAAACCCAGTTCTGATCCTGAGTCACCTGTATCTCCACTATTGACATCTGATCCAGATAATGAGCGTTCTCATTCACAGACCTTTTGTCGGCCGACTAATGTGTTTTATGATGACCCCCCAACGAAAACTAGAGAAATAAAGGACACACAACATCAAGAGCCGCCATCATTCTGGAGGCTTGTTGAGCTTAGTCTTGCAGAGTGGTTTTATGCTGTTTTAGGAAGCATGGGTGCTGCATTATTCGGTTCTTTTAATCCACTCCTTGCTTATGTCATTGCACTTATTGTAACGGCGTACTATAGGATTGATGATAAAAATCACTTAGAAAATGAAGTGAACAAGCGGTGCTTAATTATTACCTGCATGGGAATTGTGACGGTAATTGCCAACTTTTTGCAGCACTTTTATTTCGGTATCATGGGAGAGAAAATGACGGAACGTGTTAGGAGGATGATGTTTTCTGGTAATGCTTCTATTGGGTGTTTTTCCATTATCCTGAGTTTTTTTTGGGTTTGCTTTTGCTTTTGTTTGGGTAGTGTTTCTGGTCCTTTGTCTAACCCCCCCACTTATAACAGCAATGCTTCGGAATGAGGTTGGGTGGTTCGATGAAGAGGAAAATAGTGCAGATAACTTGTCAATGCGATTGGCTAATGATGCTACATTTGTTCGTGCTGCTTTTAGCAATCGACTTTCGATATTCATTCAGGACAGTGCAGCTGTGTTCGTTGCTGTTCTTATTGGGATGATTCTGCAGTGGCAGTTGGCCCTGGTTGCATTAGCTACTCTTCCTGTTCTTGTCATTTCTGCAATAGCACAGGTTTGTTTTTATATCCATGGAAAGTCATAGCATTGCTTATCTTTTGTTTGCATGGAAAACATCACAATCTGTGCATGTAAAATTCAGTTATTAAATTAATGAATTATAGAACTGATTGTTATCCACACTCTTCAATATCCCATGTGAAGAGAGGAAATCTAGGAAAACTCTGATGGTCTTTATAATATTTTCTGCAGATCTATTTTTTCTATGCTCTATATTCTTGAGTATTTTCACAATCATTTGAAAATAACTTGAACTCACTCCCTAGAAGTGTCATGCTTCAAAATTTTCATGTAAGTAGCCAAAGAAACCAACAATAAAATAATAAATTTAGTTAAACCAACAAGAAAAGTATGAAAAAATACAAGTATGATTTCATAACTTTTAACTGATCAACCTTGCCAAAATCCAAAAGTTGTGCCTTGACCCAACAAGCTCTTTTATTGGGATGTAGGGAGTGGTTTATTATTTTAAACAATGTGAACTTTTGGAATGAAATGCTGACTGCAACGAACTTGAAATTCACAGAAACTGTGGCTTGCTGGCTTCTCCAAGGGAATTCAGGATATGCATAGGAAGGCATCTCTAGTCCTTGAGGATGCAGTTAGAAACATTTACACAGTTGTAGCATTTTGTGCTGGAAATGAGGTCATGGAGCTCTACAGATTACAGTTACAAATGATATTCAAGAAGAGTTTCCTCCACGGGATGGCCATTGGGTTTGGTTTTGGATTTTCACAATTTCTCCTTTTTGGCTGCAACGCCCTTCTCCTTTGGTACATTGGACTCTCAGTGAAAAGGGAGGATGTGAATCTTTCCACAGCTCTTAAAGAATACATGGTGTTTTCTTTTGCAACTTTTGCTCTGGTAGAGCCTTTCGGTTTGGCTCCCTATATCCTAAAGAGAAGAAAATCTCTAATATCTGTTTTTGAGATAATCGATCGGGTCCCACAAATCGAACCAGATGATGAATCAGCCCTCAAACCTCCTAATGTTTATGGAAGCATAGAGTTAAAAAATGTTGACTTCTCTTATCCCACCAGACCAGAAATTCTGGTCTTGAGCAATTTCAGTCTAAAAGTCAACGGAGGTCAAACTGTGGCAGTTGTGGGTGTCTCGGGCTCTGGAAAGAGCACCATAATATCCCTTATACAGAGATTCTATGATCCGGTTGCTGGTCAGGTTTTTCTAGACGGCAGAGATTTGAAATCGTACAACCTAAGATGGTTAAGGAACCACTTAGGTCTCGTACAACAGGAGCCGATTGTGTTCTCGACAACCATAAGGGAAAACATAATATACGCAAGGCACAACGCGAGTGAAGCCGAAGTGAAAGAGGCAGCTAGGATAGCAAATGCTCATCATTTCATCAGCAGTTTGCCGCATGGGTACGATACCCATGTAGGGATGCGGGGCGTGGATCTCACCCCTGGGCAGAAACAGAGGATCGCGATTGCCCGTGTGGTCTTGAAAAATGCTCCCATTTTGTTGTTGGACGAAGCGAGCTCGTCGATCGAGTCTGAGTCGAGCCGGGTGGTCCAGGAGGCTCTCGATACCCTGATAATGGGTAACAAGACGACCATCCTCATTGCCCACCGGGCGGCAATGATGAGGCACGTCGACAACGTTGTAGTGTTAAATAGCGGGCGGATCGTCGAGGAAGGGACCCACGACTCGCTGATGGCAAAAAACGGTTTGTATGTCCGCTTGATGCAACCCCACTTTGGGAAAGGGTTGCGCCATCAGCACAGACTCATCTAAAAGCATGGGAGTGTACTGTAAGTATATCGTCTCTCTACTGATCCCCAACAGATTTAAAGCCTTTGTTTGGCACGAGAGAGTTGCAGAAGCAAGATCTTCCAAAGAACGAATAGAGATGAAACAGGGCTTTATTCCCAGGGAGGAATGGAAATGGTGGATCCACCTCTTCCTCATCCCTTTCTCGACCATTTTTTCTTCTCTGTTTCATCCCTAAACCAAAGGCTAGGATTAAGGCGGTCTTTTCGGAAATGGGGGGCATAACAGAAAACAACAAAGCTTTCTAGATTGCAAGCTTCAGTGTTAAGAGGAGTGAAGATTGGGGTTGTTTTGTTATAGGGATTAGTGTGTGGGTGTGCTCTCTCACTTAAAGTAGAACTTCAGTCAGGATTAGGAGGGTATTGTTATTATTATTATTATTCTTTTGGAGGCAGGGACGGGCGAGGCCGCATTCGTATAGTATCAAATCCTTGTGTCTGAAATGAGTATATTGATTTGTTAATTAAGGAATGAATCTTTGATTTCTTTCTCTCTTATTTGTGTGCCGTGGCTGTGATTTTTTGTGTGGTGAAGTTTCTTACACGGGCAGGATGAGTACAAAGCTGGAAATATTAGATGTGGAAATTAATTATTCAATGTAATCTTTTGGTTATATTTGAGCTGATTTTCTTGCCTGGAAATGGTTTTCGTTCTTGCATTGTTCGAATTCAGCAGATTTGTTTTTCGTTTTTGCATTGTTTACTTTGCCCCATGTTCGAAACCATTGTGAGTAGGGATTTGGTATGCAGAGAAGCCTTTTATTTGGAGAGTATAGTCAAACGTATTTATACTCGTGGAGTCGTGTGTGTCTATATATACTCACAAAAGCACTTTCGCCGACTCCATAGTGGCTAACCGTTCGGCCTGACCTGAATCCATCTCCCCACACCCTTTGATTGTACCATCCAAATTTAGTTGATTTTTAGACAAAAATCTAGAAGATGAGAGGCTTACCAAATGTTAGAAAGGGTAGAAATCATAAATTTTACGAATTTTCAATTGAAGCCATCGAGAGTTATACATTGAAAATAATAACTGCAGCAATAAATTACTTCATTTTAATTAATCAATTTTTATATTAGGAATAAAAGTTAATGCTTGTAAGTCTTATTTACGGAATATAACTACTCCCTCCGGACCAAAATGGATTGCACTGTCACTATTACGGCATCTCAATAATTTTTGTTTGTTTATTTATATTTTAAAATGAATTTTTGAACGGTTTAAGTTGAGTTTTTTATTTTTTATTCCAATTTTTAATTAAAATAAACTTAAAAGTGACCGTATTATGTTCGTTATTCAAACAATAACATCCATTTTGGAGAGGAAGTACGAGCATTGTTTCTTTCGTCTTTCATAGATCTTCGTAAACATTATTCACAAAGTCAAATTTAAATTCACTTTATTTTCTTATTTATACTAATTTCATAATAATACTTCATATAATCTTGTTACATCTTGTTTTGCAGAGTTTTTCATATAATTTATTACTTTAAAATTTTATTTTTACATTTAACAATATTAACACTATAGTCAAATACTCCGTAAATTAAAATTTGTAGATAAAGTGGACCAAACCATGCGTAACGGAATGAGTATATTTTAGTGGCAAATTTTACTCATTTTAGTATTTCGCTTCGTTCTCCGAACAATTTCAGAAGAATTGGCGGGAGTTGGCCAGCCCCACTTTCTCGTCGGCTCCTGCTTCACCGATGGAGGCGGCTGCAGGTTTTGAACTCGATCGGTCTCTTTCCATCAATTCTGAATCTGGTTAGTTCCATTTCCATTTGCGCACTTATCCGCACCTCGGTAAGCTTTGCCGAGAAATTCTCAAACCCTAGAACTCGTACGCACTTCTTGATCGCCCAATGTTTACTACAATCTGTGCTTTGTAGATTTCTTGAATATCAGACTCTTTTCCGCTTTTTGTTTCTTGAATATCGATATGTATATCGTATACAGTATACTCCCTCTGTGGCTCTGTTTAAGTTATATTTAATGCTGTGTTGCGGTTGTGCCTGTTGTACTTTCTGAAGCTTCCAATCTGCAAGAATCTAAATCCAAGAGGATGATGCTTCAGGATAAGCCTGAGGTTAGTGAGGTATAGATCGCTTACAATCTGTCATTCTTTCCTTAATTGTGGATAAGTGTCCAGTCATCGAATTTTGGATTCGACAGGGTACTGGGCCACCTATGGTCAAATCCGGTGGTCCTATGAAGTCTAATGTGTCTGGAAGCTCCCATGCTGGTACTGGGAATATCGTAGGTGTTGAACGAGACCTTGAATCCTCTGCCTATAAGAAACAGGGCATCGGACCCAATGCCAATATGCCTCTTGGAGAATTACAGAATCAGCATGTTGAGGTTAGCTGACTAAGTATATCTCAATCATGATTTTTGGATTTCTATGCTCCTATTAATATTATGTTCCATGCGGCATTTGGTTAAATATTGATATTTCAAAGAATGAAATTCTAAGATGATAAGCATACTCTTTAAAATAAAGCTTAGGATATGTTTTTTTCTAAAAGGTTTTTGTCATCAGTTGTTTTAGTTGGCTATAAATATATCCATATTGTATTTGAACGGAGATTTATTGTAATAATAAGAAAATGGAATATAATTAATATAATTATTTTTTACTCAATTTTCTTTGTGTTACTTTCATTCTCTTACTCTTGTCTAGGGTATCCTGTTAGATTTGAAGGGAAAAATTCCCAACGAAAGTACAGGAGGAAATAGTATCAAAATGCAACCAAAGAATTTGGTCTCTTTCACGGTATCCCAACAGTTCTATCTTGTCACCTTTGTTGGTTATTATAGCGTAGAAAAAACTTTTGGAAAGCATCCCCTTTCACTGGGTACATAGGCAATTGAGAAGATTTCATCGTTTTAGTGTAATCGAAGTTTTTTATTTTATAATAAGAGGTAGGATTGTTTTTAGATTGTACTGACAAAAATGGTGCCGAAAATTTCAACAACCACGTGACCACGTGTTAGGCAAAAGAAGTGATGAATGTCTAGAGTTATTTCTCACATTAATCATTTCTGGCTTTGTCTTTTCATTCGTGATTAGCCACATGATGAGAATTGAGTTAGTGGATGGGCTCATTTGAAGATTAGATAAATGAACTTTGAAATTTACTGTAAACTCCAGAATTTCAATAGCCTATATAAAGTTTCCTAGATTGTCTTTCTTATTGTAACTTTCAGTTTGATGATTTGTGCTTGTGATGTAATTATGCTAACTTATAAAGAACATAGCTCATACAGTCATACTAAAATAATTGGATTATGTGGTCCTCTTTTCATTTTTTTGGTGCTCTTGTTGATATTGCCTTGTCATTGTTTAGGGATGTAATAAATATGCAAGTGGCCTTCAAAAACATGAATCATATACTCCACAGGTTATGGAGATACTTACCACAGTGGTAAAGAATAAATGCTGAACATGGTCAAAGTTATAGATTATATACTTATCTTTCATTTCTTGCTCGCAGGTTGATGCTTATCAGGGAGGAGTTGCTCAATCTCACAAGACTCGGATAAAACAATTGCTAAGTGAAAGATATGTGCCAAGAAAGTACGTGGAGTTAGCCTTGGCCACAAAGAATTCTGAAATTGAAGCCTTAAAGAAACAGCTAATCCAATCTGAGAGTGACCTAGCTTTTATGCAGGTTTATCTTCCGTCATGCCTGTTATGACACCATATGGAGTTTGAACATTGATTTGTATATATATTCACACCCATTCTTGTTCACTCTAGCACTCGTCTGCTCAAATTGCTTTGTGGGTGAACATTTTTTTTTTGTGTTGCCTTGGAATATTTATCCTATTTGGACTTAATAAGTGCATCCTTTTTGGGCAATATCAAAGTGCATGTATATGCCGATGTTTTTGCTTCTTTTGTTTTGTTCTCATTGTCAATAGATATCATTGTCTATTTCATTTTCTACACATCTGAATTGGAGATGCTGTGTGGGGTTTCTTTTCTGTGTTTCTGCAAAGCCCCCCCCCCCCCCCTAAAAAAGGAAATAGAAAACCTCCCATTTTACCTGTCTCCATACATGTCTTGTTTATGTTGTGATCTTGTAGATATATATAATGCAACTTTGCTTTCTTAATTGATATGGTTATAATCAGGTTCAAAACTCATTATTAATTCAAGAACTACAAAATGTAAAGAAGAAACAAAGGCTATCTAAAGAAGAGACAAACCACATGCCTCAGGTATACTTGGCGATCTTGAAATTTTGCTCGTGTGCATGCCCCTACAATAGCTTGTTTGCTAGTTTAGGGCCCAAATGTTATAGTGACTAGAATGAGGGACTGGAGATATTGCATTCTTTACCTTTAAATTTGAAGATACATTATTTAAAAATTCCATCGAGTATTGGCAGCTATGACTAGAACTTATCGATTCTTGCAACTTCAAAAGTTTAATAGGTTCTCAAATGGAACTTTATTTATTAAGTAGCCGAATGGCTCTTTCCTTTGTGAATCGAGATCTTGGAATGCAGGAGGAATTCTCTGAAATGGTAGAGCATTGCAAGGTTGCCAATTGCTCGAATCGGTTGTGTGATTTACCCAATGAGCTTCTTCTCCATATCTTGTCATTTCTTGAGGTGAAGGATGCAGCCCAGACAAGCCTATCATGTAAAAGGTGGGGACAATTGTGGGCCTTGGTTCCTGATCTTCACTTCAAGGAGTCTGACTTATCTAAGAGGTCTCTCTTCTTGGACTTTGTTGAAAGGGCATGTGCTCTTCGTGGCAGATTGCCTATGAGAGCATTTTCTCTCAACTGTGAAATAGAGGGAGCTGTCGTCCACGTCAAGAAATTGATTGAATCCGTCATAACATCTGGTGTACGAGATCTCTCCCTGGTCTTTTCTAGCTATAAAAGGGCATACTTATTACCTTCATCCATATTTACTTGTGCAAGTCTAGAAATGCTCTGTGTGGAATCATTTTGCCTCCTCAAGCTCCCTTCAATTTGTCTTCCAAAACTCAAGGTATTGATTCTTCGGAGTGTCATGTTTGAGGATAATGAGACGCTGGAAAAATTATTTTCCACTCCTTCACTTGAGAAATTGGATTATAAAGAAGGTTGGCATGGCATTATCAATTCTTCAACTTGTGCCAGGCCTTGTATTCGTGTTACTGGCCCCAAGCTTCAACATCTCAGTCTCAACATGTTCAGGTGTTCTCGCTCCACTATAGAGATCAATGGAACTCCTCTCAAGTCCTTCCATTATCGGGGTTGGTTCGTAGATACACATTGCGTACTGGAAGACACCAACCAGCTAATTGAGGCTTATTTTTGGAGTGATGATCATATATACGAGGACAAAAGAGACTCATACCATGCTTTCAAACTACTGCATTTGTTTTCAAATGTGAAGGAGTTTACTCTATTCAGCTCACTGGATTTTGTATGCTTACTTTGATGTGTTATTGTCTTCTTTAACTGTGATTTATATGCTTGACGTTCTAACACAATTTCTGTCTTCTCTACCTTTAGTTAGAGTCCAGAAGGGGCAATGTTCCTCTCTTCAGTAATTTGATCAAGTTAACATTGGATGGGCATTTTACGAATAGTATCAGGGGGCTCTGGATATTGCTAAGAAGATGTCCTCGTCTCCAAAATCTCTGTTTTAATAAGGTAATGCTCTGGATTTGCTTTACTCATAGAAAATATGGTGGTAAACAATTGTTTCTTCATTTGACAACCAGCAATTACACTACCATCCTATATATGGAAGGGATGATGAGTTCATTGAGTTGTGGCACCCAGTACCTGAGTGTTTCTTGACAGATCTCAGAACGATATCTGTCATGCTCTTGTGCACTGAAGAACTTCACAAGAGGCTTTTCATGGTTGGGGTATTTCTTGAGAAGGCAATGGCATTGACTGAAATGGTCATCAAAGTTCCACAGCAGTATGAGGGTGAGGGCATTCTGTTGGAGAAATTGAGTAAATATCCCATGGGGTCGAAGAATTGTCGAATCTCTTTGGAAAGCTAAGGATGCCTTAGGGACACATCAAGTTTGGTTGTTTGGCTGGCTGGCTAGCTGGCTGGCTTGCCACCTACCTGTAGGACTAATAGCTCTGGCTTGTTAATGTACTTTTTTTGAGCTGTAAATGGATGGGGCAAATGATGTATGAAATATAAAGAGCATATGCCTTAGGGGCTGTTTGTTTCAGCCTCTTAATGGTTCAGATGTCTGAATGGTTCAGCACTTAATGGTTCAGACTGTTTGTTTCAACCTCTTAATGGTTCAGATGTCTGAATGGTTAAGAGATTTGCCTCTGAATGGTTAAGTATTATACAGAGTCTGAATGGTTAAGACCTCTTATCTGAATTGATTAGACATTTGCCTCTGAATAGTTAAGCAATATACTAGCTCTTAATGGTTCAGATCTCTTACTGGTTCAGCACTTAATGGTTCAGACCTCTTACTGGTTCAAAACTTACCGATTCAGAAGTTATCAAACAGCCCCTTAGAGTAGGACTAATAGCTCTGGCTAGTTAATGCCTTAGAGTAATATACCGTTTAATAAACCTGATATCGTTTTGCTTTTTGGAGCCCCAATTAAAGAGCATATGCAATCTAAAGTGTGTTGAGCTACTATAATCACGGATAAACTGATCTCACAAAAGGTGAAAGTGTGAAACCTAATCCTTAATAATTAAATATGTTGATAAATTTGGAGTAAGTTTATTTGATTGTATTTATAAATTTTAAAAACAAATTTATGTTATTAAAAACTACTTAAAAATTTGGAGTAAGAGGTGAAATGACTTATTTTTATATTACGGAGTATGATGTAGTGAAAATATAAACAAATGAATAATGTTTAATTGTTTGAATGTCTTGGTAATTCAGTTCATGACGGAGGAAAAAGTAGTTTATTTAAAATTAGGTGAAGGATTAATTTACGACCTTGATAGGGTTGAACTTTATTCATTTATCTCTTATTTTCGTTACTCATTTGATAAAATGATATAATCAGGTCATCTTATTTTTTTAAATTCCGCTCCGATTCTCCACTAAATTAAATTAAAAATAATTTCGGTTAAACATCCGAAACCAAAATAGAGGAATTGAATTGGAGCAGAGGAAGTAAAATTTACCATACAAAGTATACAAAATAGTACTCCCTCCATTTAAAAAAGAATGTCACACTTCATTATTCAAAAAATACGAAAATTTTGTTTATTTTAACTTTTTCATTGATTATTTTAAAAAAATAAAGATTTTTGTAGTATCTTATTTTGTAGAATTTTTTACGAAATTATTAAATACTTAAATTTATTTTTAATTTTTATATAACCTTTACATAAAACTAATTGAAAAAACGTTAAAGTTTATTGTGTTTTGTGTAATGTGACATTCTTTTTTGATCGGGGGAGGTAAGAAAAAAAACACTCCGTATATTTCGGAGTAAGAGAATATTCTTTGATACTGGATATTACCTGTCTATGAGTACTGTCCAGTTTTGACTATTTGCCGTCAAAATCAATGAACTTTGAACAATAATTAAATAAATAAATATTAAATATTGATACAAATAATAATATTATTAATTTTTTTTATATAATATTATTAAGTTATTGTTTTATCTAGTACTCCCTCCGTCCTGGAGTATTCGTCCAGTTTTGACTTTTGGAACTGTTCATCTAAGCACTTTGACTCATCAAATTCTCTCAATGTGTAAGCCTAAATATAGTCATGTGTGATCTTGTTTGATTTGTCTTAACATATAGATTATTAATATATAATTTCTATAATTTTTTAATATACAAATTACAAGATAAAATGGATTAAAGAAGTGCATTGGATGGTGTCTAAAAATGAAAGTGGACAAATACTCTGGTACGGAGGTAGTAAATATACTTTATAATGTTATATAATAATATGTTAAAATTTGAAAATAATTGATTGAAAAAAATAAAAAATGAACAAAAACTCAAAAACAAAGATATTACAAAGCTTCCTCCGTCCCCCTAAGATATTCTCATTTTGACTTTTGGTGGTTTTTAAGGAGAGTTGAAAAAAGGTAAAAATTTACCATAATACCCTTAATGAAAAATGGGTGGAGTGTATTAAATGATGTAGGTGAAGTGTAATAAATAAAGTAGGTGGGGGTAGTTGTGGTATTTTAATTGTTAAAAAATGAAATGAGAAGATCTATTGTGGACAAAGAAAAAGGGCTATTGGGAAAATCTATGGGGGACGGAGGGAGTACTCCGTATATAATTGGGATGCTCAGGAAGTACTGGAGTATGATATAATGATCAAATAAAATCCTAGTGCTAATTGCTAAAGCATATCATTATCGTATCATATCAAATCTCAATGACGTAACTAACCGGCTAAGAGATACAATTAGAGAAATTTATCTAAATAGGACTAAAATATAATGACTTTTTCAATATAGGACTATTTGTTTTTATTTCCCAATATAGGATTTTTGGTCATTAACAAGTAATCATTATTCAAGTAAATGTCTAGTATTACTCGACATTATTCTTCTCACGAAGTCATTATTTAGTTTTATTTAGGGAATAAAAAAGTTTAGGTCCTACATTAGAAAAATCATTATGTTTTAGTCCTATTTAGTGCAAATTTCACTTATGTTTCATTCTTCTTTCTCCATATCTGCGGAAATATCGGTAATTCTGTATAAAAAACTGTTTCGATTTTCATTCTTCATTGGTTTCACTTTCTATTAAAATCTTTTTTTATCCCTACTAATTAGTGACATACCGAACCGAATCATTCAAAATTAAAATCGAAATGCTTCGAAATGTGATGATCCGACCAGTAGCCGAACTTGTACTATTTTCAAAGGTTTATTTCCCAAAAATTTATCGGCAAGCCAAAAAAACTCAGAAATTAGTATATGAACAACACTAAAGAGAATTAGTGTGTTTTCATTATTCACTTCTAAAAAAATTCTTTTTTAGCCTAAATAAACATAAATTTATTTATTTTTTAAATATAACCTAACCTATCCAACTCACTCTCTTGCTTCTACACCTTCCTTATTTTGATTTTTTCTAAATCGGCAAAATCCTATGTACTCATATCATTTACCATCATTTATTTATGATCAAACATCTCCAACTTCCACTTTCAAAAGTTACACCCTCCCTCTCATGATCTATTTCTTGTCTTGATTTTTTTAGTCAACAATGACATTTTTTGAGCATAAGTTATGAAAAATGTATATTTAATTAAGATGTAATTAAAATCATTATAATTAAATTTATTTAATATTTATTTATTTAAATTATACTCCGATGTTTAATTTGTGGTCAAAATGTTTTAATATTTAACTCAAAAGTGAAAATAAAAATCTTACAGGACGAATGAAATAAATAAAAATACTTAACAATCGATGCCTACGAACCCGAAAGCTATATGTAATCTTGCCTCCGTCATTGCTCTTGACGTCATGTACCCCTAATCGTTTTTGCTTAAAATACTACGGAGTACTACTTGAGTACTTCCTCTTAAATGAGATTCATTTGAGTAACGATATGTTCACACAACGACAAAAAATTAAAAGATTTATTATTTATGATTTAAATTTTCATTTTAAAATTATTTTAGACTATTTAATTTTTTAATTGAAATTTAAAGAATCACCCTTATTGTATCAAAGAGTGACAGGTTTCATACGTGACAGTCCATGAATGGAACTCTGAGCTTGGTGTGCCGTATTCACCAATTAGGTCATGTGTCATAGCGGGTTTGACGAGAGCTTGATGGGACTTGATAGCGTATAAAGATATGTGATGTGGAATGATAAAAAATGTGTGTTATGCTGAGTGTGATGAAAAGTGATGAGATTGAGTGTGATGAAAAGTGATGAGATGTAAATATATGTTAAATTTTGATTTGTTAAAAAAAGTAAGCAAGCCACCACACCGGGTTGGCTATCACAGCCAAAGGGACAACGCCCTTTCACGCGGAGTGCGGCATGGGAAAGGGGGCGTGAGGCCATCATGATAACAAAAACTATAAATACTCCCTCCGTTCCTTTAAACCCTTCCACTTTTGACTTTGGGCAAAAATAAGGAAAATGTAATTTTGGTTGACTTTTTAATTTTGCCCCTGATGTGATGGATAAAAGTAAGATGTGATAGTTTGGTTATTAGATAAAAAGTATGATGTGATAGGTAGGGTATGAAAAAGTAAGGGTAAAAATGGTTTTTAATAGAAAGTGGATGTGTTTTAGGGAATTCAAAAAAAAACGAAAGGGGAAGGGTTTTATGGAACGGAGGAGTATATGTTAATTTTATAAATTTGAAAGTAAACACCTTAGATTATTTATTTATATATAATTAGTTAGAAGAATCTCATTAAATAAAATATTTAATAAATGTTAAAGAAATCATCCTGAATAGGAGTAAAACAGAGAAAAGGTACCAAAATAGGAGATATCTTTATGTTTTATTCCTATTTAGGTGATTTCTTTAACATTTATTAAACATTTTATTTACATGATATTCTTCTAAATAGTTGTAAATAATTTAAGATGTTTACTTTCAAATTTATAAAATTATATTTACAACTTTAGTATTATATTCTCATCCTATAAAATTTAAAATATTTTTTCATAATTAATACTCCCTCCGTTCCACAAAACCCTTCCTCTTTCATTTTTTTTGCTTTCCACAAAACACCTCCACTTTCTACGTAGTATTAAAAAACCACTTTTACCCCTACTTTTTCATACCCTACCTATCACATCATACTTTTTCACTAATAACCAAACTATCACATCTTACTTTTTCCCATCACATCAGGGGCAAAATTGGAAAGTCAATCAAAATTACACTTTCTTTATTTTTCTCCCAAGTCAAAACCGGAAGGGTTTTGTGGAACGGAGGGAGTATATTTTTATTTTGAAAATGGACTAATTTGAGAAACACACCTAGTTAGAAAGTTCAATTCTGGAAAAGTAGTAATAAGATTTAAC